TGAAAGATTGTTGTCTGTTGTTCGTTCAGTGGTTGTGGAACGAATGCTTTTAGGATGGGTCGTCACAAACCGCGAAATCTTGCGCATGCGCGTATATCGAATTCCTAGCAGGGATTTTCTCCTGGTCTGTGAACTGTACTTGCCTCATGTTGGCAGGCCGAAGAGCGGCTCCATGTTGCTGTACAGCCGCAAGAAGGTGCGATACCGTCGCGACGGCTACTGCTGGAAGAAACGCAAAGACGGAAAGACGACGCGTGAGGACCACATGAAGCTCAAGGTGCAGGGCACCGAGGTAAGTTGACCCTCGGCCCTCAGACCTAGACATTAACATGGAGGATGTGGATTGCATCCATCTGGCTTAGGAGTAGGGGTCAGTGGAGGGCTCTTCTGAACACTGGCTGTCTTCTGGGATGTTTTGTCGTGTAGTATGGTACCCTGATGATCGAGGCAGTAAGCGCCTCTGAAACGTCGGTAAAGTTTCACGGGACTACAAGGCGAAACATTCTGGATGACAGTCATCTTCAGACTCGCCGCCAGGAGAACCTGAAATCTCACTTGTGCCACCGGTTTCAGGAATATGTGAGTTAGCATTTTGTTCTCTAAGTAAACAGCGATCACTTCCTTAAACGCTATCAAACAAGTTAAAGTTTGTAATGGTGAAGTGTTTTGTTTTCTTCGCGGTACGGACTGAATCTAGATATTATTTCTGCGAACTTTACCTTCTAAGGGTTAATGTGTGTTGCCTGTGGTTTTGTGTTACAAATTGGTCAGATTTCAGTTGTTTTTCACAGAGAGCTAAGCAAAGTGCAGCGTTTTTTTTAAAGCAAAGCTGTTGTGTCCTTCGTGTCTCGGATCTTCCCTTGGAACCTTCTTACGCCCTCCTAAGCGGCCAGATTATTATTCTAGAGACAATCCATATTCAACTAAGAACACAAGGTAATTAATGGCTGTTTTATTTGTTTAATTCCCGAATGTTTCTACTCTAGCTAGGTCATCACTAGGAGAAACGTGCGATGTTAATGAAAGTACAATACGTGGTAATATAAATATCAGAAGGTAGATCTCTTGATATTTATCTGTAATTACATAAATCAGGGAACGGTGAAAGTAGAAAGTGACCCTGAGTTGAGTTGTAACGTGGCAGCAAACATTTTTGTTGCCCCAAGTCCCCACGGTGAATGATTCTCTCTCTTGCTTTATTTCTAATATTAACAACGTTGCTATGACGACTGGCGTCGACAAACAACGCTGCAAACTTCTTGCAACCCTTTCCCCAGTCAGAGAAATAATTTCACTGCCTTCTCGCTCTCTTTTCCGTGTCAGATGATGTTTCGTTCTTTTATCTTCTCGTGTTTCCCCTTTCAGCATCCTCTGAAGCCCTTCCACTAAGCCGCGCAGTGATATTTACGTGGTTTTGCCTCTCGCCGCCCCCTTCCTACTTAAACCCATTAAAGGATAATACGAGCAATTATGTGAATTATGTGTGCCAATTTTCTTAATGGTCAGTAACCTGGCATTTTACACGTTAAAATGAATTTACACGTTTCTGTTCGATGGCAGAATAAATAATGATTATTTTTTCGGGGCATGTTTAGCGCATTTATTCGGTGTAGGAATCTAATTTTTTAATTAGTCGTAGTGTTTAGCTGGAGTTTAAATTAATTAGTTAGAGCCATAAGTGATTCGTTACAATTGGATCTATAAAACATTTTCCCGAGTTCTGAAATATGTACATCGCCCGTAGGCTAAATAAATCTCTGAAGTTGATGTAGAGTCGTAACAATCTTCGAACCAAGTAACAGTTTAGTTTCTTGCAGGATTATTTCCAGGAAATAAACTCGTGTCTCGAGAGAGAGAGAGTTGGAGCGAAATTGGGGAAAAGCCCAGGTTCGTTGTTTCCGCTGCCCGTGTAATACGACCTGTTACCTTCCATATTTGCCGGTTAATTTTGAGCTGAAGAGGAGTTTCGTGTAAGAAGTTGAAAAGTACGGCACTCGATTCGAGATTTCTCCTCTAAAACTGGCTCGAAGGCAAAGGGAGGAAGATGAGCCCCTTGTATTATCCTGAGTTGCTTTTAAGCCTATCTCTCTCTCTTTCTCCTCCTGTTTGTTCAAGTTCCCTTTGATCCCTCGGGAACTTTTCTTCGTCTTCTCTGTCAGATTCTTTCTCAGTTTCTGTGAGGTTGATGCATTTTTTATTAATTCTTTGAAACGTGACTCTCAAGCGTGTAAAATGTATTTTGAGTTCTGAAAGGGCGAAATTTACGTTCACTGTCTTTACGTGAATTTCGGAACTCACAGTTTTAATATAGTCATAAGATATGTATGTATGTACCGAACAAGAGACTTCAAAACGTTGCGAGTCTTTCAGAATTCGATGCGATGTTGTTAATTGTGCTGTTTATCTTCTCTCTTGCTTCCGACTCCATTAAACAATCTTGCCTCATCACACTGCAGACTAAATTATTGCTACAGTTTCATTATTTTATGGAGACCGCTGAATTTTGGCTGCGCAGTGTTGAGTTTGCTGGTAGCTTCGTGTTAGGGGGTTTTACCTTTATGATGCAAGGGAGCATAAAGTATGAAGATATCCGTCTTCTGGGTTATTGCGCTGTGTAGTCTGGTCGATGTTAACCAACGTTTCAGAGGTCATACTGCCTCCGTCATCAGGGCGATGAATATGCCAATAGGGTGTGAGGAGCTGGATTTATAGGTCGGGAAGTGAAAGGTGTAGCCTGCCCCGAGCCAATGGGAGCAGGTATGGGAGTGGACCAATGGTAGCACGTGGGCTTACATAGTCAAAAGGAAAAGTTCGTGGCCAGCCAGAATTTTAGAGGCGCGTAATAAAAATCAGTTCATTAACATCAGTAAGTGTCACGGTAATTACGGGCCCGTGTTGTATTTCTGATCCGTACGTGCGTCTGCTTCTGTTGCCAGTATAGGAGAACTCTGCCTCGCATTGCTTCTCCCACTACTTCCTACTTCCCTCCCCTATTGCGCAAGCCAGCGACCATTATAAAGCAATAGGACTGTACATCATACACGCAAGCGACGAGTCTGTTAGTTATTTGAGACGACGTAAACGAGTATCCACAGCGGAACCTCTGCCGTCAGGTCGTGGTATTAAGTTACATGAAGCTCGCCGATACTGGTGGATGTTCGCGCACTGCTCCACGTTAGCTCTGACGTCAATTTAAGTACCAAAACCGCGCGTTCTGCTAATTGGTTAATGGGTCTAACAACCCGTGGTAAAGTTCTCAGCAATGTTTATAGGGGTTTTCCCCCCTGTCGTAAAATGTTTATAGTTTGCAGTTTGGGTTTAAGGTTTATTTATGTCACATTAGTGCTAGATGCACTGTGGCTATAACTGTGTGAAGTGTCACCGAGACTGAATTCTCTGTTGTAGACTATTTATTTTTATTTCATGGACAGTTTTGTATTTTTTTTTTTTAAATTTTACGTTTAAATTGCACATCTCCGTTCTTCGTTGATGCTGGTTTTCTGGGTAGACCGCTGTTTGAACGTACGGGCCCGTTTTTGCCCTGGATTTTCGTACGAAAATAAACTTTATCGAAATAATTTTGAATGTATATTAATGCGTGTCACTGCGTGCAGGCTTATGTTAAATTGTTGTTCAGCGCACGTCGTTAATAAACTTCATTGCCAACAGAAACCTCTTAACCACCTCTTAACTAGCACTTGAGTGTTAGTGTACTGAACTGTCCTTACCAGTAACTGTACGTAAATTGGAGATGGCTGTCTTCCGTGTTTGCAGTCTGGCAGTTTGCCGACGTTTCAGAGGTGCTTGCTGCCTCCATAATCAGGCCTCGGTTTTCTTAGAATACGTCCCGCGTAAGACAGAAACCTAACATCAGAACGTAAGCAACAACCACGGAGTTCAGTAACATCCGTGTTCCGGGATGTCCTGTCTTTTCCCCGTCTTCCAGTGTTCTCCCGTTTACTCTTCCTGTAATCCTAGGAGTGCTGTTCTCTAGGTTTTTTCTCCCCTTCTGAACCCCGAACTCCCCATCGAGTATAATTCAATATGCCGCATTCTGGTAATCTCTCTCTAAAACTGTGGAGATTGTCGTTGGAGTATGGAGGCGTGGTTATTATATTATAATTTATGTTATTGCCCTCCTACATAAAAGGTAGCATATATATATATATGTATTTATGTGATGTTGTGTGGTTCCTTGTGTGCCCAATCTCTGTTTTACTAATGATGTGTAGAATTGAAACGGATCAAAGAGGAACCACAAAACACGAATGGTCGAAACATGCTTTTTCAGGTGAGTTCCTTTGTACGAGACTAGTTTATGGTAGGAGAGTTTCTGCTGTGAACGGGATATAAAACCCGCCGGAATTCTCCCCACAGGGAGAGAAAAAAACCCCTCGAATTTGTTTTTAATCGCGATGTTGGTGAATTATGTGGAAAGGAAAATACCGTACTTCAGGCGTTGTGCAGACTCGTAGGTAGATAGCAAAAGGTTTCTTCCGTGCTACGAATCAGCCCACAGCATCACATGGCACCTTCTCCGCCGTTAGAACGTCAAATTTCATTCGGAATTTTAGCGTAGCGGTGAACCGGCTTGCGCTGTCTTACAGATTTACCTTCTTAATGTGATGTTCGTTGGTACAAACACAGACATCTTCTGAGATGTTGCGCCGTCTACGCTGACAGATGACGACTCACATTGCGTCCATCATCAGGGATGATGGAGGCACAAGGCACCTCTGAAACGTCGGTCAGTTTCTACGAGACACGCGGTGCAACGTCCCAGAAGACGGCCATCGTCAGTGCGTCGCCGTGAGAACCAGAAATCTTTGTGTTGTTAAGCTGAGTGCAAATTAAGGACGGAATGAGCGCGGTATGTGAGACGCAAGGGGGTAAGAGATTTATCGGGAACACTAAGAAGACGTG